GCTAAAAGTTGAACTTGAAAGCTTGCATAAATTAAAATTTTATCCGTCTGTACTCTTACTGATGATAAAAATGAGCCAATCAGCGCGCGAGAAATTAGTCAGTTATTGTAAAAAGGTACATGATGGTTGCACTATTAAGTTTTTCGCCTGTCCATTTATTTCCTCGGAAAGATAAGATCGTGATTACGTTGGTGAATCAAAACTTCGTATGAATAAACTTTGTGACAAAAAGTACCCAGCGCAAATGCTTGAAGTAGCCGGTGACTTGCCGCGGACGCTCCGGGCGGGCGGGAGGGTATACTCCGTAATATGGGCTATATAGGTGTGCGCAGCTCCAAAGGGTAGGGTTTTTCAGCCGTTTTGGTCATAAATAGGGTATCGATTTGCCCATTTTGTTCTTAGATAGGGTAGGATTTTTGCAATCTAGTCTTGAATTGGATATGTTTTTTTAGAAGAAGCTACTTTTTCATCATTATCGATAAGACCATAAACAAAAGTCCTTCACAAATTATGGTTACGTCAACTGTGTTAGGTCATAACCAGGGTATCGAATTTTCGGTCAGGCCATAAATAGGGTAGGGAAAATCACAGAGTTTGGTCATAAATAGGGTAAGGGTTTTGGGAAGCGGGCCGCACACCCCCAACGAATTTTTCCGGGAGTACTCCTCCCGGGGGGGGAGGGGAGTGGTCGGGCGCCGGCTTGGTTTGAAAACCCTGAATCAGAAAGTGATGAATAATCGATAGGATACAAAATTGTTAGTCATCGATTACTCATCGATGACCGATTATTTATCGATGTCATCGATAGGCCACAAAATATTTAGTCATCGATGAGTAATCGATAGGCCACCGAATTTTTAGTCGTCGATGAGCAATCAATAGGCCACAAAATTTTTAGTTATCGATTATTGATGTCATTTATTATCGATTAGTTACGTCTGCAAGCAGATAACTTTAAGAAAAAGGTCCTTAAGCTGTTGGCCTGGTTACCAATAGATAAGATATTAGGAAAAATAAGTTTTGTTTCAATCAGTGATTCAGGCGGTTTTTTCACTGTGTATGAAATACCTTTCAGTGTCTTTCAGCTTGCGCGCTCAACCAAGTAACCGCGCAGAATTTTCTAGACTCCTGACCGTTCAATCGCTTACGCGAAAAAACCACTACAGGAAAAGTCTAGAGGTGCTCACGTCGCAACAGTTAAATAAGCCGGCCTATTTCACTCCTGGTCAGCAAGAACTGCGATCGAGGAACCGGCAAACCGTCTGTAGTAGACGTTGTAGTCCTAGTACTGTTATTATACTGAGCTTGTAATGACCAGTGCATACGCTGCAATCTTTGTGCATGATGATCACGGAATCAAAACTCCCAAATGATTACATTCGTGCTTACTTATTTGATCATGAAAATAACGACCAAATGGAGCTAGCTGAAGCCTAGGTAGAGAGCTGATTCAGTTTCGATACCAGGTCGAGTTTTCCACTTGCACGGTGCAGGTGTCGCCGACAATCGCGTCGAAACCAGCCAATCAATATTCTGCCCTTCTTTCAGATTTTTTTCTTTCCTTGCACATGTAGAATTATTGCGTTATATTTACGCCTGACTTTGTTTCGTGTTCTTATTTGATAGTCAAAATACAAAACAGCAAACTGAAGAATGCTTGTGACATATTTATTGTTCACTCTGCTTTCCCCCAACAGAAAGCAATCTTAGATTTCTTTTTATAACAAGGCTGGGCTACCATCCAACCGATTTAAACAACAAACAAGTTCAAAATTACAATGTACACAATTGAATGTGACAAAAAAGCCTGAAAACATTTCGATTTTTCTGAAATTTTTGTTGACTTTGATATTTTGGGAAAGGAACGTCTAGATCAACTTAGACGATTATCATACTTTAATAAATATTTTACAATGGAATATATTAATTTGTTATTAACAATTTGGCACTTCTTTTCAAACTCGCATTTATCTTTTCTAAGTTTACTCTGTAAGATTGTTCTTGTGTTAAACTAAAATCATTTGCTCTGTGTTAATACAGACGCGTTATTATGACATCATTTTCAATATTAATCTGATAGTTTGGTCATAAGTTCGATATCTACTGATTTCTCGGTTCGTGGCAAAGTAGAATAAAAACAAACGAACCATGACATCGTTTACTGCACATTTGTTCATTACTCAGCAATGTTGAATGTCTTATTGCTCTGATGAAAGCAACATTTTCAAGCTTAAAGAAACAGTTACTTTACCACCACAGAAGACAAAAGTTGTAGAGTCGTCAAATTTGCGTTTGATGCAGTTCTATCGAATCCTTTAACAATGCCTCCGGCGATGAATAGTTTGCTCTTGTTCATTTGCATAAATCATTTTCCAGACGTCTCAACCACAAGTTTTTATTAAAATTTGCTTTCTATGGTGTGAGGTTGTTTTTGCCCAATTCAGTTTCCACAATTGCAATTTCTCCGAGTTATTTTGGAGTCATGCAATTGGTCAAAGTGTCGAAAATTTCCCCAATCTTCCGCGGCAGGGCGAAAATTATTTTCATGTCTTTCTCATCAGCTGAATCCACGTTCCAAACTCTGTGATTCATGGTTGCCTGGTCGCCGTGAATCGCGCTTGAAGTTTTCGATTCCTTGTAGGCCATCCTGAACGCCATCGTGAGTGCGGCTACAACGCATCTTGCGTCTTCGTTTGAACCGCAGAGAAACGCGTGGCACTCTAACCGCCTGGGAGAAGACGAAGACAAATAATTGAACGCGACCACTTTAGGGATCTTCTTGTAGCTGGCGCAGAACAGAATCTTCCGTAGCTTGAATATCTTTTCGTTATTTTTGCTCTCCAGTGAAACGTTCTCTTTGGTTACAATCAGTTTTGCGTTGTCTTTCTCGTTCAACGCGCAGCCCTTTTGATAGAGGCGAGCGATATTTTCCAACGTCCCTGTCTGTGGATACATGGCGTTCTGGCACCCTAGATATTTCACGTTACACGTGAAATCCGCCGGTTTCGTTTGCACTTCCATGACTTCCTTTCTTCACCAGCGACGGGTTTTCGTCGATGCAACCTTTTAGCTAGTATAACTTACTTACAGTTGTAGAACTTTGTTCTGATCAATAAAAGCGTTCCAAGCGTCTCTGATACACCATTGAGTGCCTGGGCAAAGCTTATGTGTATTGCTTATGAATTCCCTTGGGTTGCCGTCAAACAATTAGAGTTATTATTCTTGTTTTGATTCACAAATGATTAAAGAGCACCTGAAATGCTTTGTACTTCCTTTGGGAGTTGGCCACTAGCATAAAAGGATTTCCAAACAATAGAATCCACGCACTCAGTTGTTCACGTAATGAAAATGTGGTCGCGTACTCGACCTTAGCGACCTTCTAGAACTGACGCCTTTTGCGGGTTATTTTAAGCTAATCTCGAGATATTGTCGTGTGCTCATGTATAGATATGTGGCTTTTATATTTGTGTCTTAGCGCGTGCAACACTTCTCGGAGATTAAAATAAAAATGAGCATATTTGCATCGCAAACTAAAATTGAAAATCTTTATCATCGCATTGTTTGCCAAGTGGCCATCAAACAAAAGAGAAATAATCAAACGAAACGGCGAATAGGAAATGTGAAATATGTTTTCGTTGAATTTTCTCCCAGTATTATGTTTTTGTTTCACGTCAAATCGTGAAAACTAACAGGAAATGTTCAATTTAAATGGTCAAAGATAATTTGAGAGGAATATATATTCACACTTCGGGCACGGAAAGTGTAAAACAGATGCTTAGGAAACGTTTTTAAAGTCTTGGCTTTTTATTTATTAACATGAATATATATTTCGGAAAGTCTGATTCCTGTTTTTTAGGAAAAATTCGATTAGTTGAATAAAGTTTTGGAGTTAAAGACAATAGTTAGATCTAATCAGGTTTTCATTTAAAACACCAGACGCTGTTTTACATCTCATTAAAAATTAATTTTTCAGTTTTTTCGTAAAAATGCGATGGTGCAGGATTGCTGTCAGATGCCTTTTTAATCAATGAAGTCTGTGTATTGGACATTTTTTATTCGGCTGTAATAAAAAGATTTTACGTTCGCAAAACAGAGAAACATACGTTTATGAGACTTGTTCTCATAAAGCTATTGTAAAATAAACTTCGAATTAACTCAGGCAAAATATTTCGTTTTAGCATTTGCATTTTTTAGCCTTTTAAAGGATAAATTGCCGCAGGTATTACTAAAAGAGATTCCGAATTAATTAGCAAGGTACGTTGGCTTTTATTTTGACATTTCCCAGCTCACAGAGAAATCGAGAAAAGTGTAAATCTCGTTTTTTGTTTTGAATAAAAGTCGATAAAGCCGACTCATTACTCTCAAGCTTTTAAATCGCAGAGCAAACACTCTACATTTACAGACGTCACAACAAGTTCCAGTTAATGGTTTGTACGTGAGGTAATCCACGATTTTTTTACACTTACGAGAAAAGCATTTTCCTCTGTAGTGAATATTATTGAGTGGCACTCTAATTCCCATTATACTTGTGCCATCTGAAAGAGAAATTTTGCATTTTAACTATGCTGTTGGTTCTTTACTTTGATCACTGAGCAGTATATTTTACAACCATAGCTGATTAAAATGACTTGTGTGTGGAATGTTTTTCTCGATCTTTTCCAATCATGCAAGCAGAAACTCGACCTACGTCCAGGGATAATTTCGAATTATTTTCCAAAACGCATAATTTGTCTGATCAGTAACAAACAAGTGATATGCTGAAGTTAATATTTATTTGCATATTACGTCTCTTATCTTATTTTCAAGGCAGTGAAGTGCAGTGCAAGACATGGCTTCTGGTAGCCAGGTATTAAGAACAAAATCCTCTCTCTTTTGGCGATCAAAATGAGCCATATGAGTTGTTTAAGCGTCAAGGCTGTATTTTGCGAGTTTCCATTAGTGGAAATAAAGCAGATGCCCGGGGGGGTACTTCCAGAAAGTTGGGTGGGGATGTGCGGCCCACTTCCCAAAACCGTTACCCTGTTTATGACCAAAATCTGCGTTTTTTGCTACCCTATTTATGACCTGACCAAAAATTCGATAGCCTATTTATGACCGTTGCGACTGACACAGTTGCTATAAACATAAGTTATGAAGAGCTTTTGTTGACGGTCTTATTGATAACGATGAAAAGTAGCTTCTTCTAAGAAACATACCGAATTCAACACTACAGTGCTAAAACCATGCCCAATTTATGACCAAAACGGCTGAAAAACC